AGTACCTCTCATAAATTATTCTCAAATTTTGGGGCAATTTTCTCAGTCTTTGTGGTGGATTGTTCTAGGCCAGCAATTTTCTCTTCTACAGCTGAGAGTCTATTTTCTGTATGGTCTAGTCTACTTTTAATACTTTCAAGAGAGATTTTGACTTCCCGTATTATAGTCTTCACCTCTAAGAGTTCCATTTGATTCTTTTGTAAATTGTGTAATTCCTCTTTTAGATCTTGCAAGAATTACCTCACCTCCCAGAACTCATCAGCTCCTTTCTTCTTTTTCTTATGCAGTTCATTGTCTCTCTTCTCTTCCATTTCTCTAAGTTTCACCATTATGAATGTTCTAAATTCTTTATCCGACATTTCCATGATTTCCATTGAACTGTTGGTGGACGAAGCGGAGTTGTTCTTTTCCCTTGGAGAAGAGGTATTTTCTTGTTTTCCCATATTTCTTGTATCCTGTGGTGATTTCTAGTCATCTGATGGAAAGTGTGTTTCTTCCCAAACTTGAAGTTCAATCTGAGCATCCAGGAGCATAAAGAAAAGGAAACAGAGAGAGAGAAACAACAACAAAAAAAAAACCAAGAAACAGAGGAAAAAGAGAAGTAAAAACTAAAAAAAAAAAAAAAAGAACTTAAAAAGGCCAAAATTAGAAAACCAAGTGGCATGCAAGTGTACCACGTGAAATCACTAGTTCTCAGGAGCCAAGAAGATATCTTCTGAGGACTGCTCCCTTACCTCTCCTGTGCTGGGAGGAGGAGAGGAGATTATTAACAAGATAAAGGGAGAGAAGGGGCTGAAAGCCAAGAAAATGCTTTACCTTAAAAAATTTTAAAAGGAAAAATTACCAAAAAATGAGAAGACAAAGACAGAGGTAGAGAGACAGAGACAGTGACAGGAGGCTTGAAAGTCTTCCTACCACTGGAGTTTATGGGCTGGAGGCTGAATTATCAGTGGAAAATCTTCATTTCCCTTATTCCCCTGAAATCACTAGTTCTCAGGAGCTATGAAGATGTCATCTGAGGCCTCCTCCCTTGCCTCTCCACTGGAGTTTGTGGGTTGGTGGCTGAATTATCAGTGAAAACCTTCATTTTGCTTATTCCCCTGATATCACTAGGTCTCAGGAGCCATGAAGATCCACCTAGACAAATATTAATCTTTCTTTTATCTAGTGACAGTCTTTTACATAGAGAACTAACAGAGCCAGAAGGTTTTAAATGTCCTACTTTAAACCTGGAAAAACACATCCTATGTTAGAAAATGAAACAAACAAACAAAAACAGAAACCAGTAAAACCAAAAGAAGTTTGTTGACCCATTAACACCTACTATTAAGTCGAGACATGAAAGCAAGCCAGAAACCTTAGGCAGGGTGGGTCCTCTATATTCCTCTCTGCACTCACGTTCAAACACCACCACTACCACTACTCCAGTCCCCAGTTGTCCCTGATTTTTTTTACATACCTGGTCAACCTCTTGGCTCAGATGCTGGGCTCTCTATGATGAATCTGACACCTCCATCTACCCACCAGAGATGTTCTGGTGACTCTCACTCTACCCAGAGAGCCCCTCTCTACATTACAGAGCAGTATTTGTATGAAAAGATCAATTATTTTTGAGATTAGAGGAAAACTAGCTCCAGGAAAGAGTAAATGACTGACCCTAAATAGTATGGATGATCATTCTCCTGCCTCAGACAATCTAAGCTGAAAAGAAAGATGAGTTTAGGGGAAAAAATCATTTTCCATATATGAAATATATAGTAGAGACAATTTCAGCAAAGAACATTCTAAACTACCGGGCTAGTTCAGTGGCATTGCAAGAGAAGCTAGACCTACACGGAACATGGCAGGTTCAGTTCCTTGATCGACTTGGACATGCAGGACACATATGCCCCCATGATCCTGATGGTGGGGAAATCTGGAAGGTATTATGGTGTGGGACGCCATTGAGGGTGCATGTATTTCTCTCCTTGCTCTCACACTGTCTCTTTCATTCTCTCTCTCGCTCTCTGTCTCTCACTCTCATGAAAACAATAAATGAATTTAAAAAAAGATATTCTAGACTATGGTTCAAAGATCACAATATGATAAATTTGGTCAATGACTGAAAAATGAATTGTAAGTGCTCAGCAAAGAAGTGCAAGAAATGAAGAAAGCCAAATTCTTTTCGAAAATAAATAGAAAAGGGCAACCATGCACTTGATAAAAGAAATACATATCTATATCTGTATATAAAATCTCCTGAGTTTTAGATGGTTTGGGCTATCTGATCTATTGAAGGATTTATTTTAAGCACTCAATATATCATTAAGGACCATAATTCATGTTGCAACATCTGAGGACACCAAAAGGGACGCGCAACCAAATTCTAAGACATCTGCTCTATGATAAATCCAGGTACAGAGCGCAGAGGACGTAAATGCTAGAATGTGGCATTTTGCAAAGGCTAACTACATGTGCTTGATAGATTCTCTTACAATGGGGCTTGTCACTTTCATAATAATGAAAAATGCATTCACTTACTCTACTGGTAAATTCCCAGTGAAAACACCAATAAGTACACTCCGACAATCATGAGAGTTGCCAACTTTTACACTTTTACATATAAAAGTATGCAAATTGAGGTAAAAACAAGAAAACAAAGAGGCATACTAATAATATTCTTTAAGAATTAGAAATGTTTCATTATTGGTGACCAGTAAGTATTAACCTAGCAGGAAGGATTAAAAGGGAAAAATAGTTCCAGACCAAAAATAAAGAGGAGATCCTAAAAGCTTCAGAAAGTAATTCAACCAGAAAAATCAAAAAGGGAGAACCTCAAATCAGAATACAGCACACACTGAGAGCAGCCAAGTCTATACTCAGAGCAGGAAGATGGGCAGTCCTAGGAGGAAAACAGAATTGAGACCTTATTTGATAAGTATGAACCATTGAATAAAACTCAAAGGCTGAGCATATGAAAGATCTGATACAATGATTGGGAAAAAGTTAAGAATAAAAGACAAGTAAAAAGAAATCAAACATACAAAACAAGAAAATAACCATAGTACCCTACTTGACTCAGCGAGGAACGCTGTTTACAGAGTCATAATAATGTAAACGGTAAATACGGATTTCACTGTTTTGTGAGATTGCAATA